GTTTGCAGCAAAACGGACACATCTGCGTTTTCACGCATATATCTGTTAGAAAACGGAATAGTCTGCAGAAAAACGTCTGCCCTACGTATTACGACAAATGCACACTACTTTACGAATTTTTTTTTCCCAAAGTTTTTTCCTTCTATTTGCGCTTCGATGTTTTTTGTGTTCTGCAACTTCTACTTTCTGTATTACTGTTTTACCTCCCTACCATCGTTATATCAATTTTTTTCCGTTTTTTATTCGGTCACAAAACTTTAGCCTCTTACTTCCTGAAGAGCATTGAGAAAAGTTATAGTTAAGTCAGTTAGTCGTGCTGATTACGTATGAGATCACGTGCGAAACAGAAGTTTCTCTGTTTGCACTTCGTGATGTACTTTTAAATTCTTGTGTATTATTTGCGTAAGACCGTGGTAGCTTTCTATTAGAACGATCAGCCAAATGCTGAGATTAGGAGCCTACGCTACCGTAAGCAGGATTCCAAGGACCGTGTAAGTTGCGGCGCTTTGCCAGGTTTTGCCACTAAATCATCTACTGTAGCCTATCACTGCCTCTAACACTTTCGATTTTCTCGAATATTGAAAAAAGTGTTGTGAACTGCTAATTCTAATGCTTTTTTTGTTTAACCCTTGGCTGATCAGCTGATCACTTGTTGAGCCCCAGATACTAGTAAAGTTTTGGTAAAACTGCTGCATGAATCGCTTAACCTTTTAATTTTTGCCTAGAGTGTCTGTAAATTGTTAATTGTGCTAATCTACAGATTCAAGCCTGATAACCGCTAATGTTTTACCTGTTCAGCTATGCTGCCGTCAACAAAATGGTGTCGGGTGCCTACAAATCAGAATTCGGTCAGAGCGATGAGCTGACCAAGGTGGTACCAGGTGATCCCATTCTTTGAATTACATTGCTCTATTGGCGATTTCCAGGTGATGGATCGTGTAAAAGCATTCGCTGCCAAGGAAGGTCGTCAACCTCGCATCATGGTAGCCAAAATGGGTCAGGATGGGCATGATCGAGGTGCCAAAGTAGTGGCCACTGGATTTGCTGATCTTGGTGGGTATTGTACTGTCTCCAGATCATTCAGAGCAATGTTCTCACCTGTAATACAAACCAGTAAAGTGCCTAAGACAGTATTTTTTCCTTGTTCTTTTAAAAACTGGCAGAATCTTGAGTATTCGGTGGGGTAGGGCATGTATTTGCAACCAGCTGCAGTTGGCTGGCCGAGTATTTGAAATTGCTCTTTCTCGATTTCGTTTCTAATTGTTGATTTGACCCTGGCGAATCGAAGACTTGCTGGTGAACTAGAGTTCACTTTAAAAACGTACACATTCCAGGATTTGACGTTGACGTGGGACCGTTGTTCCAAACACCAGCAGAAGCTGCTCGACAAGCTGTCGATGCCGATGTACACGTAATTGGAGCAAGCAGTCTTGCTGCTGGGCATCTCACACTTGTACCTCAGCTGGTTGAAGAACTTGCCAAGTTGGGAAGAGAGTAAGTTCTAACTTACTGTTGAAGAATTCGACTGGAAGTAAGTAGGTTCTTATGAGCGATTTCAGAGACATCCTCGTGATTGTTGGTGGTGTGATTCCTCCGCAGGATTACGATGCCCTCTACAAAGCTGGTGCATCCTTAATTTTTGGACCTGGAACGAGACTGCCATCTTGTGCCAACCAGGTTTGAAAGGTTTTCAGGTTATAATACCTCGAGCATCTTCGAGTAAGTATGGTAATAGTCAGGTGAAAATGAATGATCAGTTTGATTTATGAGAATAGAGCTTATCAGTTTCTCAGATCGTGCTTCTCAATATACAACAAAGGGTAACCGAAAAATTTACATGTTGTTGGGCGGCGGACTACGAAAGCAGCCATTCACTGAGCCGACTGTTCCTAACAGCAACCAACGCTTGGCTGCTTTCATAGTCCACGATTTTGCGAGCGACCGTTCGCTCAGCGGCGCCCATGGCTAGCGCCGCCCTCCTCGACCAATCGCGCCGCCAGTCGTGCGATCAGTCGTTGGGTCCGCGATCGGTCGCTCGAAAACCGTGGACTATGAAAGCAGCCTTTCACTTTTACTCGAACTCGCTATTGGCATGAATTGATTAGTTTCCCACCCCTACTCTGAAACTGTGGAAAATATCTGATAATTCGCGTATAGTCGAAACCCATGGATGTTGCTGTACAGCAGCTGGGATCGCTAGTCGTTGCTGGAATGCCTGGTTACAACTATCTCGAACTTCTATTTTGAGGACCGCCCTGCAGTATGAAGGTCGTCTTCAGTACACTATTTTTATACTGTCAGTTTGAAGGCTATACAGCTAAGTTAAGAAGCTAGCCTAGGAATGAATAGCGGGATACAGTAAATAACAATGTATGTAAGCATCGATAGGAATGTAATTTGTCGATTGGAATCGCTAAATTAAATTTTTCTTTATCACTTTGTTGCGTTCTAGTTCCAATGTTCATTTTGAGAAGACAATGATAAGCTAGTGTCATGTAAATCAAAAATGCGTTTCTGAAGTCGTGGAAAGAAGATTGATATCGCTTATTTAGGTCCTGGACAAACTTGAAAATCCCCCGAAAAAGAATGCTCAGAAATCCTGAATCCAAAACTAGGATATACTTTGTGATACGTCGATACTAACATTTATATAGTTTCATAGAGATCTAATATTTTGGATCATTTTATTTTCAACACAGTTTTGGTTTCTGATACTGTGCTTGACCTTTTTGAGTAAAACTTTGGATCAGTTTTTGAATTGTAGAATAACTGCCGTACTTCTACCTCCAGCGCAATTGTTCCGTTTTGACAGTAGAGTATGGTTTTCGATTGTCATAATGAAAAAAAGTTTTTGATTTTGTGAATCTGGACACTTCTCTGAAGTTCAACAGTGTACAATGTTCATTGTAAAAAAAAAATGGCTATCCAACTTTTGTCCCAAGTTGAGCTTGCCGAGTTCCTTACTCGGTGGTAACCACAAAAACTCGTTTGTCTAACTTAATAGGTAGATTCTTTATCACAATGTTTTGCGGTTTCTAGAAACCAGTTTATGGAAATAGTCACGAACTCAATAATTTAATTTAAGAAAGTGATATGTTCAGAATTCGGAGATCAGAGTCCTGCGAAAATTGCACTGGCTTTCTGTTTCTTCAGATTTTTAAGGGAAAAGTCGCTGTTGAACAGGATAACTGGGATCAACAGCGAAACACCATGGGCATGCACGTTGAGCTGGGGTCTTGTACTCGTTACCTGAAAAACGAAAATGTTTATTTGACAAATATCAGAAAGAAGAGTGGCATCAAAAACTCTTAGATGATTGACTAGTAAAAAATTTGGGAAAGTTTTTGTTTTTCAAATTATTCTATGTTATTTTTCTGTTGAGCATTTTTATTTTTTACTGCATGTGCTTCAACTACTAACTCCTAGGCCTTAACTTGATTATTTATTTCAAACTAGAGTAAGAATGTTTTCGGTGTAAAAACCATGAAAGGTTTACTAGGTAATTCAGGCTTTCCTGGATTCTAATCGATATCGATTCGCTATTCTATTGATTTCGCAGGGAGTGATAAGAATACTTGCGTCCAAGAACTGGATACTTACCTTGGTTGTAAAATTGGTTACGGTACCAGTCACCTCGTTCGTAGTAGCCACGGTAGAAATAAGGAAACGGTGTGTAGGTTTTCAGAGCTGAATTGAGATAGTCATCTTTATGGTCCATAGAAAAACCTGCCTGAGAAAAAATGATAAATGCGTTACTGCAAAACTGACAAGCTCCTTTAGCCCTTCCCAAAGTGTTAGGACCAGGGCCGATAATTGTGCGACTGGCATTAGGTCCAACATTCACACCTAACAGTGTCCATCTGAGTTTGACGGCATCATCAGCAGCTGACAGTCTAGAGCCGACATCGGCGCCACCACCTAGACGATCCCATTCGGCGATTCCACCACTGGCGACAATCCGACATTAACAATAAGACACCGAATTTTGAAAACAGGGAGTTTGCACGCACTTATTTAGCCGGAGGGCTTTGAAAACTTTAAGGCGATCGCCGAACTCGACTGCACCGTCTCGATCAGTCACATCGACGACGGCTCCAATGTGATGTCCCACTTCCGTTTCATCTTCGATCATAGGCACATTCAATGGTCGTAAAAGCCTAAATTTCGAATCGCAAATAAAAAAAGTGTCTTTTTTCCTATAGATCTGGTGAAGTGATTTCTGAAGAGATTTTTTCATTCACTTCGATTGAGAAGGGAGCTAGGAATCCGTTGCGAAGTTAATGTCCTTAGTTGTGTGGTCCTTAAGTGCAGGATTTAAACTGCTAGGTAAAGTTACCCCTCCAATAACTTCAGCTGTAAAGAATACTTAAAGCCATAACAACAGTAAAACACTTTCAAGGCTTCCTTTCCTGTGATGGTAATGTCTTCTCGACCTGGTCGGGGCAAAATTTGGCCTCAATATTCAAGAACTCTACAATGTGGGCTTAAAAATGGTTTCAATGGCAGAATTGAAAGGCTGTAGGGAGGGAAGGGGAAGGGGGAATGGTTGAAACTTCACCCACGAGTCAATGATCGCAAGACATCAATGTCCACCGAGCGCCATTCTGATTCGAGTGGGTTTCTGATCCTGATGTAGGACGATCCCAAACGACGGGTATATCGATCACACTCTTGGTTCTTCGTTAGACAACGGTCACGTTGAAAGAGGGAGAAAATACCAGATAAGATGGAAGTTCTACGTTTTTGTCATCTTCATCGCGTTGCAGAGTAATTATCATAAACAGCTGATAGGATTGTTTTCTACGAACGAGTCAAATTACTGATGTGTTGTCAACTGCCGATGCCGATGTCAACTGTAAGCTCGAACATTCTGTCACTTCAAGAAAAGCAGTTAAAATTCATCCTAAAATTTATAGTTGAAACTTGAGCCCTTTATAGGGTCGACATCAAAATCTGCTCAAATCGAATATGGCAAATATAGGGAACACAACACACATCAAATAGAAAATAGACACTTTAAACCAAATAATTAGTCATTTACTTTCCATTTTCATGAACCATTTCCTCCTATTAAAAAAATTCTGGAGCACTTACCCGATGTCGACTCCGTCAACATATCCATAGGCTGCCCCTCTACGATCTGTCAGGCCGATACGCTCGTTCTTCAGTACCTCTACTCTTGGTCCAAGGCAAAGGTAGTCCTTTATCGGTGTCAAACAGGTTATGAGTGACCTAAAACGCGTGAATTGTATGTATCAATAGGTAAGAGCTCATAGGGAATACTTCCAGCGCGCTTTATATTCAATTCATGCCGTCCGTCGTAAAAACATATCAAATACTTTTTTATTTTTTTATTTGTTACATACGGTACCCATTCAGCATAAATGTCTGTATCGTAAATTTGTCGTGAGAAATTGAACCTGTAGCCTTTTCATAAAGTACTATAGTTATAAGCTCGCAGTAGTTCTAAATTTTTAAATGGCTGAGTCATAGCAGACAGGGCTAGCGCCATGAACCATTCTTGAAATGATATAGGCCTGCCCACTGCCTATGTGGGGCCTGACGTTGTGAGAGCAACGTGACGCCTTTTCCTGTTGCATTGCCTTGAAATTACTTTTCGGATAATACTTACCTTAAGGTAATAGGAATGTCTTGCTGGTTGACTGCTAGCGCCGCTTGACGTCTCGACCTAATAGAAGCTGTTGAAAGGCCAGCGATGGCGAACAAAAAGTAACAGACGAGCATGAACGGGCAAGGTAGCCCAGCTGCAATAGGTTTCGATAGCAAGAAAGCGCAAAAGACGACCCAATTAGCTGGTTTTCATGCGGATATCGCTAACAAATGGGCGCTACGTCGAGCGAAAACTGAAGCTATACGCTCCAGGTGGTAACCCGTTTTGGAATAGCATCTTTTTGCAAGCAAGCGCTTTTAGAATAAGAGATTGGAAAAAGGAAAGTGCTGGGATCGCT